TTGGCAATAAATTGAGAGGATTAATGATAGAATTATAAGTACTACCCCATACAATTAATCCATATATTCAAAATGAATATACAAGAGAATAATAAAGATTAATAACAGTATTAATATTAACATATTCACGTATTTTAGATAAGATACCAATGCTACGATTTACTTTCTTTTTTATATAATTAACTTGATATCTCCAATTAAGATTTGAATCAATATAAATTCCTAAATATTTCACTTTAGTATTTCATTATGTATAGTTAATGTTACTGTAGAAGTCTGTATCTTTTGAGATGAATGGAAAATAACAAAATTTGATTTATTTACGTAAAGATAACTTATTGGAGCACAGCCATATGTGGACTTTCTGCAATTCAACGTTTAAGACCAATTCAAGATCAGATAATTTTTTATCTGAGTAGAATAAATTGGCATCGTCTGCAAAAAGATGCAAATCAAGTACACTAGAACAGTTACTAAAATCATTAATATACATAAGAAATAATAGAGGACCCAACACGGATCCTTGAGGCACACCACAAGAAATTGATTGCTTGGTATATCCACTATCACGGCACACAGTTACTTGGGTTCTTCCACTAAGATATGAAGTAAACGAATCATTGGCTACCCCCTGATTCCATAATGTTCCAGCTTTTGAATAAGGAATTCATGATTAACTGTATCGAAAGCTTTATTAAAATCTAAGAATATTCCACAGGAATACTCTTGATTGTCAATTGAATTTTGTATTTTATCAACAATACTCAAAAGAGCATGAACTGTGGAATGTTGTTCACGAAAACCAAACTGCTTTGGATAGAGTATAGATTTCTTCCTAATAAAGTCAATCAATCTATTATACATGAGTGAGTTCTAGGAGCTTACTGAACACAGAGAGAAGCGAGATTGGTCGATAATTCCCCATATTAGACCGTGCCCCACTTTTAAATACTGGTACTACTTTTGGTAATTTAAAGTTTTCAGGAACAATGCCTGAATTAAATGAAACATTAAATAGTATTTCTAAAGGTTTAAAAATAACAAATTTTAGTTTCTTAAGAATGGATATGGAAGTACTAAAAGGGCCAGAGGATTTATTGCAATGAAGTCTTGTGATTTCCTCCTCAATCTCAAAAGTACTGACCGGTGAAGTATAAAAGCTTTCTGTTAAACGAGACGTTAGGCAATCAAAAGGAGATTTATCTACTTTAGGAATTTCATCAGCAAGACCAGTTCCAATATTAGCAAAATACTCATTAAAAACATTGGCAATCTGATCAGAATCAGTTATATCATTATGCTCTTTCTTTATTTTAGTAGGTACATTATAATTTGAGATTTTATAGATATAATCTGTTTTATTCCTTTCCAGGTTTTCTTCATATTATTATTATTTTTACAAAAATAATCATTGTAATATTTTCTTTTACTTCTTTTAAGAAGGTGATTTATCTTATTTCTGTAAGTTTTAAATTTCTAATGATAATACTGCGATTTAGTTTTTAAAAATATTTTATAGAGGTTATTCTTTTTCTTAATTCCCCGAGCAGGTGTCGCGAAGCGCCGTGCGAGTATACTAATTCTGCCCGGCTATATACACCCGGGGGAAGGAACGCACTAGTGAAGTCTAAAGTTCATCAAATATCGTGGGCGCATGGCTCACCGTTCATGGGTGGTCATCCTCACTGATCTCAAAATATGTAGTGGACTGTCGTGAATAGTGAACACTGATTGGTCAAATTTGAAATTTGCATTGTAACGACCGCATTGACGACAGCGAAATAACAAACATTTCTTGCAAGTTGTATTTTTGCAAGATTTTTTAAATTTGAAAACCTTTCTGAAGACCAAAAAACGTCTAAAAACGTCTAAGAGAATAGAGCAAAGTCTCCGACGTTAATAAAGGTAAGTTTGTTTTAGATATTGATGTATTGTTTGTTTTATAATTGATATATTTATAACTGATAGTGGTGGGCGATACTGCGAATATCGAACTGTTACTATCATTGCGTATAGAAGTGAAAAAAGACAGCATATAATTTCAGTGTAGCTTTATTAATTGCCCTTTCTTTTGTATATTAAAGTATTTAAATAAAGAGGAAAGCAAAGTTATTTTCATGCGAGAATTTGAAATCAGTTTATTTCAAACTCAAAGTTTAATAGCGATAATTCGATAAACGGCCGTTTAGTTTTAAGAAGATTTTAAAACGTTTTGCGAAGCGTTTGTGGTTGAATTTGACATTAAATTGAAGCTTATATTACGTATAATAACATACCTAGCATATATATGTTTGGGAATTTGATAATTTTGTTATTAAAAGTGATATTTTGGAGGAATTTTAAAAGTAATCTTAAAATTATCTTGTTATCATGACAACTACTTTCAATTCTTCATATTCAGAAAACATAATGTTTTGTCAGTAAGGCGAGGGTTTCTGCATGCATGTATTTTCTAGTAGAAGTTTTAATAGCAGGTGTTATCCAAGGTTTAGATTGACATTTTAGCTGTCTTTTTGACATTTTGTTTAATGGGTATATGGGCATCAACAATCCCTGTTACTGTTTTATAGAAACTGTCAAACATATCATTAGTATTGGTATTACCGGAAAAGACTTGCCACCAATCAATTGCTTGTATATCATTAACTAAAGCGGTTTCGTCAAAATTAGAATAATCTCTCTTAAAGAAGGCAGACAATGCCAATTTATTCAGTTCCGCCTGTTATTGTCCCAAGATACACATCGGATGCTGATGTTTGCCCATATTTATGTTTGGACGAGTATCTTGAGAGGACAAAAAATTTACGACAATTAATAATTATGTTAATTATATTTAATATATATAGTTTGAACAAGATCTTGTAGTTTTGAACAACTGAATTAGCCCTCATTCTCATTTCTGCAAGATCGCCCCATAGGCGGAAAATAATGTTCCAAATATATTATATTTTTTATCATTTCAAAAGGTGGAAAAATATCGGCTATTTTCATTTTTAAATGAAAGGAAGCCATCAAGCGGCACGTAAAGCATCCAGCTAAATCTATATGGCTCGCACTACTGAACATGCGCTTTAATATACCCTAACATTTCACGTGACACATGCGTCGGCTTTTACGCATCACGATGGCCGGTTGCTATGCAGTTTGCTCCCGGAGTCAAATTATTTTATTATTATTATTATAGAAAGATTACACATTGAATAGCTACAGTAAGTAACTAAATTAGAACGCGCATTACATATATATAGAAGATATACATTAATTACTGAACTATCTAGGTTAGATATTATAAAAGTTTCAATAGAGATAGTTATATTAAAAAAAGGAGAGTTATTAACAAAGGTTCAATTGGCGAAACAAATGGACTGATCCAAAAACTATCACTACGTGTTAAAAATGTTTCGATAAAAATATATAAAGTTATATTATATAATATTATAAAATAGAGTTATTATAGAGTTCAATTGACGAAACGATTGGACTGTTCCGAAAACGTTCTGTTCTGTAGTGGTAATTGTAAAACAATTGACCATTCTGACGTGTAACCCTTTGCCGTACCTTGCAAAGTTTATTAGGAAGAAGATGGTGCAGTTTGTGTTGCGGGTCAGACGTTTTACTGATAAGATCAATGCACATAGTATTGCGACGTTGTATGCATTCCAGCGTATGCATTCCAGCTTTCAACAATAACTTTTCGTAATCTTTTTCGGAATAAATTGTTCTCAAAGCCCTTCTTTGTACTTTCTCAATACTGCTGCTCTGTGCTTTAGTAAGGCCCCCATGCCAGACTTGCGCTCCATATTCAAGTGTCGGCCTGATAGCAGAGATGTAAAACCGTTTCATATCAATCTTGTCAGCACCGTATTTCTTTAAAGTTTTTAATAAAAAGAGTCGCTTAACTGCTTTCCCTATTATATAATCAGTATTAGTTTGCCACTTTAAATTATTGTCAATCCATAAGCCCAATAGTTTGAAAGTGGAAACCCTTTCCAACGTTGTATCATTGAATGTTAGTGGTGGAATAACTGTTTTGTTCTGACGGAAGTTTAACTGCATCTCCTTACATTTTTTTCAGATTCAACTCCATTTTTTGAGACGTGGCAAAATCCATAACTTTCATAATATTATTGTCCATACTCCCAACTTGCGTACCCGAGACATGATCACGGACGTTAATAACCTCTGACAGTGTTGTATCATCCATGAAAAGAGTGAGGTCATCATCACCATCATCATTATCATCATTGCTCGAATTAGTCAAACTGCTCTCGGTATCTTTTATCACTGCCTTCAGTCCGTTAATGTGAACGACGAACGCGATTGGACCAATACGACTACCTTGGGGAACTCCCCCATTAATCATGCAGCTTGTAGAAAGTTCGTTACCAAATCTTGTCACTTGCATCCTCTTACTCAGATATGACCCCAACCAGCCAATAAGCCCCGGTCTGACTCCAATTTTACAACAGTTGTCTAATAGCAGGTTGTGATCAATAAGATCAAATGCCTTGCGAAAGTCCAAAAACACAATTCGTATTACTCGATGTGATAAGTCCAACGCTTTATTCCATTTGTGTAGAAGGTGAACGAGCGCAAGAACTGCTGACGAGCGTGGGACACCACCATACTGTTCCTTACAAATTTTAGACTCAATATCGTCATACATCCAATCAACCACGTAAGACTCCTGTATTTTTGAAATTGTGCTAGTGAGAGCTATTGGTCTTATTTCATCCAGATTCGTGCACGGTTCCACTTTTGGTATGAGGTGCTAGGCGGAACTCTTTCCACAGTTTTGGAAACACCTTCTGCCCAAATGATGCATTAAAAATGTTTGCTAATGGGAGGGCAAAAAAATGCGCAAATATTTTGATTATCTTGAGGTAGGGGTCGTTTGGACCGGGAGCTTTGTGAGACTGAATGGACAAAAGCTTTTTCGCAACGCTTTCGGGTGTAACAGTCGGCAAGACATCTGAATGACCGTACGATGACCATCTGGATTAAATTTCTGGGAAATCATTTGTTAGATCTGCGAAAAACGTATTAATCATATTTGCAGCATCACTATCTTCGAGTTTGGAGTCTGATCCCTGCTCACTGAGATTGATAGAAGGTTTCTTCTTTCCAGTCAGTTTCCAGAACTTCTTCCACCACATTCGGGCATCCCCGTTGGTATCCAGCCTTCCAATGTTCATTACATAATAGTGCCTCTTTGCCTTTGTAATTTCCGATGCTACTCTATTACGAAGTTTCCTAAACTTCTGCATTCTTCTTTGTTTGTATGCGTTATCTCGCTTCCTTAGTAACTTTTTTATTTTTGTTGTTATAAAAAATTTATCATCGGAGTGCATTCGAACTGTTCTCTCCGGGAAATAGTAATTAATCATATCGTTAGTAGCTCTGGTAAAATCCTCAACCTTCTCATCTACGTTCTCAATGTTTAGTACGGTTGACCAATCATATTGGGCAAGACAGGAACCAAATTGTTGCAGGTTATATCTTGGCGTTGGACGAAATTTAATTTTCTTCACAATGTTTACCGAGCGCTGCTGTGATTTCGCCATCCAAATAACCATATTATGGCCTGAGGTAGACAGTGGTGCAATTACTTCAGGGGGGTTATAATGTGAGCTCATGTTAGTAAAAATAAGATCTAGGATATTGGAGTTTCGTGTCGGATCCTTAACTACTTGCTTTAAATTAAAATCACAATAGTCAGAAAGACACTTCATATCAAAACCGTTGCTGCAGGGATTAAAATCTCCAGCCACAATAAAACCTGTTTCTGGACTTTCAGATGATACTTTGTCATAACACGAATAAAAATAGTCATAAAACTTTTCTAAGTTTACTCGATCAATTGAGGGAGGAAGGTATACACAAGCAACAGCAATTCTCGAAATTGTTCGTGGAAGCCACTTTGGACGTAGAGTTAGCCACTGACATTCAAAGCACGAGTCAGAGAGATCATCACGAGTTCTTATTGAAAACTCTTTACGGACATAGATTCCACAGCCCCCTCCAGAACCGATTTTCCTATCCTTACGTATCAAAGTAAATTGTGGGATGTTAACAACTTCACTGGGTATATTGTCCGCTAGCCATGTCTCCGTGACAATGATGATTTCAGCTTTATGCTCGTTTGAATAATATTTTAATTCATCAATTTTCCCCATAATTGATCTCGCATTTACGAGAAGCACATTCGGTAAGGTTCGGGCGATTGGGTGATATGATGGACTCTCTTTTTTAAGGTAGATCAAGTTTCTAATCACAGGGTTAGATTTTTGTTTGTAGTACTGATGGGGACGCTCGTCACTTCGGTTTGTAGTAATTACGGGAATTGAAAAACAATTGGTTGCATTAGTGGTGGGTGCTACATTGACAATATCTGTCGGACCAGCTTTAAGTGGTCTAGCCATTCCAATGAGCGCGGCGGGGGCCTCTGGTTCGTTTGGCGCCGCCGAAAATGATATTGTGATTCTTTAATAGAATACTTAGAACAAGATGTTAAATGAGACGCCACACAATCACCTTGTTTTCTTGAAAGTGATCTTACCGGGTCACTTTTCTTTCTTGAAAGTGGTTTGTAAGGAACTTCAATAAAGGGCAAAAAATTTAACCATGCATTGGATTGCCGGGGTTTTATGACTTGCTCTTCTTTACTTGTGTCCACAGTTCTTGTATTACTGGGCCTTGCTATTTCTTCAATATACGTATCAGATCGCATACAATAATTGTTGCATAAATTACCTAACGATTTTGCTCGATCCACTGGACTAGCCTCATTAATTACACTATCATCTGCTTTGTCTAAAGTTACGTGTAGATCACAGTTAACCAAATTGGGAGCAGACGACAAAGGATCATTGACATTATTATCGCTTGGATAAATAATTTGCAAGTCAGATTTTACATTACCCAGCATAATTGGTTCCACTGGGATATCTTCGGTTATTGTTGTTGGCTTGAATTGATCGATGCTTTGTGTTTCTGATTTATTGTTTTCCAAATCTGATATAGCGTTATCATTTTCTGGTGGGGACACGCTTTGAGGAATTTCATTGTTTATTTAGCCTGCATAAAAACGGGGAGAGCTTGATTGCGACTAACCATACTGTTCTCTGACAAAATGGAGGTTTTGCTTAAATTAGCCTCCCGAGAGTGTTCTTTTTTCGATTTGCATGTATTCACGGCACTTTCTTTTAAATTCGAACCTGGTTTTTGTGTATTTATACGCACAATCACTTGCGCGAGGGACTCATTTAGTGCTTCGCTTGTCTTAATCTTGTTATCAAGGGAGGCAATGGTTTGATTCAGTTCAATTAATTCAGCGTGTCTGCCTCTTATTAAGACAGATATATCTTCCTCAAGTTGGCTACACCTTTCTCTTTCAATAACCAAATCCCGTTCTAATTGTTTAATTAGAAGTACATTGGTTTCCGAGTACATTGGTTTCCGGTTTCCTAGCTGTAAATTATGGCGCGGTTCAAATACTGCGTTTTTGGCGCTCCTGTTTGCGTTTATTTTTCAACGTTTTAAAACGATACTTGCTCAATCTGTACTACATCGAACTGTCTATTAGCTCGTGTGCACAAATAACATATACGGTTATTTGAAAACGGTAAAATGTTGGTGTTGTTGTGGCCATGTATTTTCGCCTTTTGAGCGATGAGAATTATGCCGAGAAGGACAAATTGTACTGTCTAGGGGTCCCACAGCATTGCACGTGCATGGCCTACAATCCCCCCTTGAAAACCCTCCTGGATTCGGAGTATTGCCGGAATTATTAGCAGAAATAGCTAAGAATTCGGCATTTTTCCTTGTTTTTTTAAAATATTTTTGTTGAAACTTGATTTCGGAGAAACTTTTCAAGGCTAAGTTGAAGAGTAGCATTTATTTAACAAGTCTAAATGGATAGCAGTGCCGGAGAAAGGTGTGGGGAAAAGTCTCTTTGACGAACGCATTTGCCTTTTATACGCGTTCATGCTGCGCCATGTTGTTGCTTCACTTCCCGCTGTGTTGCCTTTTTAGTTCGATAGATTATTGCCATAAAAGTCAAACATGTGATCGAAATAAAGGACATCCAGGAGTGTGCAACACACAGAGACCACTACCCGATAGTTTTGGGGGGAAAGTTCTGTTCTTTAACTCATAGAAGCCAAGGAGATCTGTCATGCAAGTCACGCGAGGTTCATATTTGTTTACTTCACCTCATGCTGCGCGTCTTGAGTTAGCTGGTTTCTTGACTTCGATAAAAGCTTATTGTTTGCCTTACGCAAGTTTTATTTACATTAATATAACTACAGAAGACCGAGTTAATTATAGTTTACAAAAGAAATCAGTTGCACATGCCTTTATTTAAGCGGAGATGAGGGAGCCGTTTTCTCGCTATTAAAGACAACATGCCTTGGTAATCTGCTATATAGTGGTAGATGTACTATGATCTACGGAATTTGGAATTGTAACTAAATGATAAAATTAAGTGTGCGTAAAGATATAAAATCTGTTTCAGGGAAAGCTGCGTATCTTAAGGAATTTAAATCACTAGTATACTGTATGTTACTATTATTTTATGCGGTTACGGATCTTGTGCAGTATAAATAATAAACTGTAGTAGGCTGTAGTATACTTCGCAGGTATGATTGCACTGTAGCTAGCCTGCGAACAGGCTCTCAAGCTGAATTAAGAGCCTGCATCGATGACTAATGAATTTGAATATCTGCGTCTCAAATCGTAACGCGAAATTCTCATTGGTCAGATGTTATAATTTATATGTTTCCGCTGAGCTCTATATATGTCAACTGCTGAAGCACTATGCATAAAAAACACATTAACTGATCAAATTGGTCTTGGCCGTCTTATCTCAAAGCACGAAATGTTCTGTTTTGAGAAAACAGTATTTAAAACATTTGAAATTTTGCTTGAATATCTTATATTTCGAAAAACAGTATAAACTGTACGGTCTAAATTTAGTTTCCACGGTCTAAATTTAGTTTGCACGAAAGTTGTAAACAACACCATATAAGGATAGACATTCCATATTTGGAAAAACGAACGTTAGGGGGCAGATATTCAAATTCATTAGTCATCGATGCAGGCTCTCAATTCAGCTTGAGAGCCTGTTCGCAGGCTACACTGTAGCTAAATCTGCTATATATATTGTCAAATGGAACTATGTGTTTATATATGAATATCTCATAAATACATCGTACACAAATATAATATGAAAGCATTTTATAATAGAACTATATTCAACAAACAAATATTCTTGCGAGAACTATAGTATAGCTAGGTTTTTTGACGCGACTAACCAAAACAGTCAGTATGTTTCTCTGTCCGGCTGTCGATATATTACTTTAAATCGATATATGTTATGTATTAGCAGCATCAGATAATTTCCCCAAAATTACCTGCATATACTGATGAAGAACCGCGAGTTAGGCGAAAAGAGAAACAGTTTGTACATTGGTTTGCGTTCCGTATTATGAAATATAAACTATACGGGAGCAAATATGGGTTATTAAGCCGTGTAGCAAAGCACAGAACACGTCACAAGTAATATACAAAATTATTCTGGTTATAAATAATATATGGTAATTATACAAACTATGTCTTACGTCATCTATAACGACTCTGAATGCCATACGCCAAAATGATGTACGTTTTTGGCTTTTTATCCATCTGCCAGAGCGCCAGTTTGCCAGAGCGCCGGCAGTTTTGCCAGAGCGCCAGTTTGCCAGTTTTGCCAGAGCGCCAGTTTTGCCAGAGCGCCAGTTTTGCCAGAGTGCCAGTTTCGCCAGAGTGCCAGTTTCGCCAGAGCGCCAGTTTGCCGGTTTTGCCAGAGCGCCAGTTTTGCCAGAGCGCCAGTTTTGCCAGAGCGCCAGTTTTGCCAGAGCGCCAGTTTCGCCAGAGCGCCAGTTTACTAAAGTGCTAGTCGGTTTTGCCAGAGCGCCAGTTTGCCAGAGCGCCAGTTTTGCCAGAGCTCCATGCAGTTTTGCCAGAGCGCAAGTTTTGCCAGGGCGCCAGTTTTGCCAGAGCGCCAGTTTCGCCAGTTTACTAAAGTGCTAGTCAGTTTTGCCAGAGCGCCAGTTTGCCAGAGCGCCAGTTTGCCAGAGCGCCAGTTTTGCCAGAGCGCCAGTTTCGCCAGAGCGCCAGTTTACTAAAGTGCTAGTCAGTTTTGCCAGAGCGCCAGTTTGCCAGTTTTGCCAGAGCGCCAGTTTTGCCAGAGCGCCAGTTTTGCCAGAGCGCCAGTTT